AGGGAGGGAGGGAGGGACAGACAGACAGGGATGGATGGATGGATGGACAGATAGGTGTGTGTGTGTGTGTGTAAGCTGGATAAACTAGACCAGTCCAGACTAGACTAAATTAGATAAGATAGATCTAGGTAGATGGATGGATAGGTAAGTAAGTGAATGGATGGATGGATAGCAACAGACAGACAGATAGGCAGAGTTTCTTCCAGCTTCTTGATTAGAAGGAGACCGAAAGACCAAGCACACCTTTCTGGAAAAGGGTCTTCCACAACTGAAGGCCACCCAGGAGAAGGTCCCATCCTTGAATCGACAGTGAAAGGGCTCGTCAGAAGAGCCTCTCCTCTTCATCTGGGGCAGGGGTGTCAAACTCGCGGCCTACCGGCTGGGTGCGTCACGTGCTGGCCCCGCCCTCGCCCAGTTTAGCGAAGGGGGGAAAAACTCCCAATACATCCCATGACGATGCCATGACGACGCGAGTTTGACACTCCTGATCTGGAGAGATAACAACAGAGGTCATTCCAGATATGATTTGGGTTTGGAGCTCTTTGTTCAGACTCCCTTCCCTAGCCACTACACTGTGCTACTTCGTAAGGTACTTTCAACACTCATCCAACCCAACTGTTGCTCCCAAGCGCATGGCATTACCTTTCTTGCTGCAGTGGTCGCTTCCTTGTTTTCCTCAGATGGGACTGTCTTCTTCTTTTTTTTTTAAGGCAATCATGTCACTCTGTGGACAGATGTTTCATGTTGGCTTTGGAGGAAATTAGCAGCTTGCAAGAAAATCAAATGCCACTGATTTACACAGAGGAAACAGAGCTTTGGTGCACAAAGGAAATTAACCAGTCCTCTGCAGCACAGCATTCTCCACACACAATACTTAAAATTAGAGAAAGAATGGGGAGAGAAACACAGGGTAGTAACAGGCATTATTGGGGCATTTATTCAGCTTCTGGTTTTGCTTCGCGCAGGGCAACTCAGGCAGAGCCAAGGCAGTTGGCTTTCAGTTTGCCTCCTCCAGTGACTGCTCAAGAGGCTGAATAGAGACATCACGGTTGTGACCAAGTTAAAAAGGCATCACTGAACATATAATGCACTGATTTTATTTATTTAAAAAAAAAAAAACCGCCTACAGCGTTTTATACTTTCTACCATTGTTATCTTCTCCCTAGGGGAGGCTGTGCGGCTCGAAAGCATTTCTCCTGTTTTATAGATAAGAAAACCTATGTTGTGTCTGTGTAGGATGTGAGTGTGTGTCTGTGCGTGTGTGTGTGTGTGTGTGTTTCTGTGAGTTTTGGAGCGGAATAACCAAAGAAAATTGCAGGGATTTGTCCAGGCAGGCTCTTAAGAATTGGACATCACTGAATGGAGGGAAACCAGCAAAACAAACAGAGGAAATTTAGAATAGCAGACAAACTACTGGGTTAAATTCAAAGAGATTTAGGATTGAATTGCAGGCAAAAAAAAAAAAAGATTACAGCAAAACGTCTCACGTTCGCTTCTGATCACTTCTGAAGAGGAGCTGGTAATCAAATGGTGGAAAAGCTCACTGAGATTTTTTTTAAAAAAAAATAGCCGAAAGCGGGGTTAGATTGACAAAAAATTTGCTAAGAGGTCAGACACAGACACACGCACGCTCATTGCATGAGGTTGTACACCAGTGTGAAATCCTAAACAGAGGGACCATTTCCACAGTTCTGTAGTTCCCATCCATATGCTTTTCTCCTCCTGATGGATTACGTCTGGGCATGTGAGCCAAACTCTGCATAGAAGAACATATATTTTTCCAGGAGCTAAATTAGGGTGGAGGAAAAAGAAACATATTGTGTTTGTGCTGGGAAACTGCCAACTAGGCTGGAAGGGGGAAGGCGTCAAGCTTAGAGTCTAGCTTAGAGTCCTTGCATAGCTGTAAGCGCATAAGCTTAACTTCCCTCGTGATCCATGAAGCCTGGTCTGGTTATTCCCATGGGAAGTCAAGCATCTAGGCATATTCTTGTAATATAGGTGGAAAGCAATAAAGTTTGCTTTCTTTAGCTATTTACGAGTCTCTTTGGTTGCTTATGTCTGGCAGTTTGCTTCTATTTTATACTCCTTCCCATTTCTCCAACCTCAGTTGTGCTGTGGAGTGGGGAGGAAATTCCTCCTTGAATGACACTGTTGCATATTATCAAGATAATAGAGCAATAGGAGAAGTTCCTGTTGCTCATCTAATTCCTCTGCTTTCTAGAAAAAGAAATCTAGAACTGAACCGTTTCAGGCAGAAGGTTCTCCAACAACTCTCTGAAAATCCCACAGCAGAAAGGCCTGTTGTCCTTCAGAAAATTGGCTTTATTGGTCAAGAAGCGTAGAAGCTCCTTGAACTACAATCTGTGAAGCCTTGTGAAGGAAGGCCACTAGGTTTTTCTGGTCCTCTAGAACAGAAGGAACAAGATTCCCCTTCTTCTAAGTGATGGGCATTTAGGGATTTGAAGGACATTGATCCATGTAGCTATCAAAAGTCATACTAGAGTCAAGAGAGCATTCACAGACACTGTATGAGCCTCCTTGCTTCTCACAGAAAAGAGACTATAAAGATGCAATAAATATCTTGGAGGCTTAGAACATGGAATTAGTTGGAAGGGAGCTTGGAGGTCTTCTAGTCCAACTCCCTGCCCAAACAGGAGATCCTATGCCATTTGAGACAAATGGTTGTCCAGTCTCTTTTCGAAAGTCTCCAGTGATGCAGCACCCATAACATCTGAAGGAGGCTATTTATTCCCTTGGTTGATTGCTCTCACGGTTAAGAATTTTCTCTTCAGCTCTAGGTTGCTTCTCTCCTTGATTCATTTCCATCCATTGTTTTTTGTCTCACCTTTTGGGGCTTTGGGAAATAGTTTCACCCCTTCATCTTTTGTAGGAGCCCTTCCAATATTGGGGCACTGCTATCATGTCTCCTGTAGTCCTTCTTTTAACAGAGAAAGGTTTAGTCATCCACCATCCTTGCTAACTGAATTCCTGAATGTCTATGGCTGTTGGGTCGACATTAACATTTTCTCTCCCTTTTCTGATTTTGGCTCTTCTACAGAAGGACATGTCACTGAAGCCTCAGGAGAGAAAGGAAAAATGGGAGAGACACCCCGGAAAGAAACTCCGGGAAAGTGAACATTGCGTCTCAGCCGAACCCAGCGAAAACGGGCACAGCAACGATGCCGGAAGTTCGGGGAGAGAAACGGATCGAGGGAAGGAGAGAGTGAAAAAGAAAATTCCATTGAAGGTCCAGAAACAGGTAGGACGACCGTCTATCTTTAGCCATGGAGGTGTCTTTTGGGAAGATTTGTTTTGGCTTTGATTCGATTAGATCTGTGCTTCCCAACCTTGGCAAAGATATAGGGACTTCAACTCCCAGAATCCCCCAGCCAGACATGCTGGCTGGGGAATTCTGGGAGTTGAAGTCCACACATCTTAAAAGTTGCCACGTTTGGGAAACATTGGATTAGATTAAGACACAGAGAGAATAAAGAATCCAGATAGGTTCAGATATTATATATAGGAAGTCCTCAACTTACAACCAATTGCCTGGCAAGCTTTTGAAGTTATGATAGACCCCACCCAAAAGATATTTATGACCTGGATTTGAAGTTCTGATGTCCGCTTCTACCATGTCATGTTATCACATTTGGGGCACCTGGCAGCCATCCTACAATGGATGATCCGCTTAACGACCAGCAGGACTTACAGCCGTAATTCCATGCTCCGTTACAGTCATAAGTCAAGAACTACCTGTGTGGAAGGGATGCTGTTGAGTATACATTTATGTGTGGAGGAAGAGTCTAAAGAAAAAGGTTGGCTTATGCGAAGTATGGCTGGAGAAAGGAAACCGTGGGGATACCAACTGCTGGTTGAACGCGTCTAGTGGAAACCTCTTAGGTTACGTACCATGGACAGTGGGTCTTCTCTGGGTAAAGCTTGTGGCAAGGGTAGGTGGCTTCGAAACACCCAAATTTGGAGTCCCCCCCAAGGTGCTATCTTTTGTTCCGTGGCAACCATAGGGCTTTGGGATGATGGATGATAAGGTAGAAGGTTGGAAAAACATCCGGGCATTATGAACTTATTTTATTGAAGATCCTCGTGTACCAAATTGCTTCCGAAGCAGGAGACTTAATTGAAACTCAAGATTCTTGTAGGCTGCACACAACGTATGACGTCTGCAGGGGAATTTGTGTCGCAAGTTGCTTGTGAGCCATCAAACTTTATGGGGGGGGGGGGGGCAGAACGAGCCTTGAGAGGCTTCCCTCGACCTACTGCCTCCTACTTTTAAAGTTTAGAGGCACCCACTGAAAATCCAGCATCTCTGGGGCAAGAAAAGAAAACCCAACCAACCAGTTCCTCCCCTTGGTTTACCTTGCCAAATTTGTGCCAGGAAACCTCTCCGTACTCACAAGCTCACAGATAATCTGCGGAACTGGTTCTTGTGCAAATAGTGTAGAAGGTTGTGATGCCCCGATACAATTAGTACAGACACACACAGACACAAACACACACACAAACACACACACACACACACGAATTCAAAACTTGGTGATGTGTCTAACCGCTCACAGTCCTGCCTGCCCATCTGAACCAAGAGAGCTTATACTGCATCCTCCTTGACTTGCACTAACAGGTTTGTTCAAGGTGAAGAGAGAGAGAGAGAGAGAGAGAGAGAGATAGAGAAGAAAGAAAGAAAGAAAGAAAGAAAGAAAGAAAGAAAGAAAGAAAGAAAGAAAGAAAGAAAGAAAGAAAGAAAGAAAGAAAGAAAGAAAGAAAGGGAAGGAGAAGGAAAAGGAGACCAGAACTGTCTTCTTTTCGAAGAGGGCCGAGAATAAGATATTTTCAAGAGTTCTGGATAAAAATCTGAGAAAAATCTCTCTTAGGGGGCGGTACATTTACAATTTAATATTGGTTCAGAGGTGTTGAAATTGAACTGGGCCATGGGGTGGCAGGAGGATGAAGTACTTTATTTTTAATATTTTTTTATTAAGAGTTTTTCAAAGCATGCAAAAACAGGCAGGCAGGTAGGAAGAAAAAAGAGAGAAGGGGAGAGAGAAGGGAGGGAAGAAAGAAGAAAGGAAAGAGGGAGGGTGGAGGAGGGAAAGGAAAGGGAAGGGAAGGGAGAAGGAAAGGAAAGAAAGGGAAGGGAAGGAAAGGAAAGGGAAGGGAAGGGAAGGGAGAAGGAAAGGAAAGGAAAGGAAAGGATGAAGGGAGAGAGGGAGGAGCAGCTTATGAGATGAAGCTTCTTCACTTCAAGCAGGCCTCCTCGTGACTCCAGGCCCATTTCCACACTCCCGTCTGCCGTTGAGTTCTTGGCAACGCTACAAACGTGGCTCCCTCTTGCTCCCTTGCATTGTTCTGCCTCCAGTTCTGCCTGAGAGCTGCCACGAGTTGGGAGAGCCACAGATGGCCCGCTTCCCTCCTCTCCTAGTAATCCGGCAGGGTGGAAAAACTCGCAGCTGCCAGAGAAACCGCTGGGGAGTCCCCGGCACCAAGTGTCAAAATGGGCAATACAGTATTTAGTCATTAGGGCTGCTCATCTAAAGAACTAAAATAAGGCTCATTTCAATCAATAGCAATCTGTTTGCACTGTCAGGAACTAATTTAAAAATCTGCTTTAAGTCCCGGCAGCAGCGTTACAAAGTGCAGGGGAATCATTGGGCCTGGCGTGATGGCAGCCGGAGGGACGGCGGAAGGAAACCACCGAGCAGGGGAAGACCTATTATTTTAACACAGCTTGCTCGGCGGTGCTAATCCGTCTTATCTTGCACACACACAGAGCTCAGGAGAGAGAAAGAGGGGAGGAAAGAAAAAAAAACAACAGGAAAACAGAACTGAGTTGCACTTGGCTTGTTAAATATTTTTACTGCCTGGCTGCAAGGAGGAGGGTCAAAACTGCAGAAACCTGTCCAGGCAGCCTGGAGAACCAGTCCGTTGTGTGGTGGATAAGGTAACCAGGTTAGCAACCGGGTGACTTTATCTTCTGTTCCCATCTTGGGCACAAAGCCAGCGGGGTGACCTTGGGCCAATCCCTTCCTCTTAGCCCTTGGGAAGCAAGCGTGGCCCCAACGCCTTCCCAAAAACATTGCAAAGAAAATTGTGGGGTTTTCCCCAGGCCATTCATTGCCAGGAGCCCAACAGTGACTTGAAGGCACTTAAAAAGAACTCTGGTTCAGCCCAATAGGAAAGGCGGCTCTTCACCCAAATGGCAGAATACACACCAGAGATGGTATTCAGCAGGTTCTGACCAGTTCTGGAGAAATGTTGAGTAGTTCGGAGAACCTGCAAATCCCACCTCTGACTGGCCCCGTCCCCACCTCTTCTCTGCCTCCCATTGACTCCCGGCTGATCGGCTGAGTCTCCTTTGGTTGCCCTGCACAGGAGAAGGGAGCTGGAAAGCAGGGTAACGGGGTGGGGAGGGAATGGGGGTTTTGTAGTATAGCCTTCCCCTGCCACGCCCACAAAGCCACGCCCACAGAACTGTTAATAATTTTTTTTTGGAATCCTATCATTGATAGACACAGTTTGTTACTTATCTTGGCTTAGTCTAATGTAGTGTTTCTCTCCATTTGGGGCACTTGAAGAGATGTGGATTTCAATTCCTGGGTTGAGACTGGCTGGGGAATTCTGGGAGTTGGAGTCCACATATCTTCAAGCGGCTAAGGTTGAGAAGCACTTGTTTCGTTCAATCAGTCAATCAATCAATCAGAATAGAGAGGGAAGGGACCTTGGAGGTCATCTAGTCCAACCCCCTGCTCAAGCAGGAGACCCCTCTACCATTTCAGACAAGGGGCTGCCAAGTCTCTTCTTAAAAACCTCGCGTGATGAAGGTTTTCTGCAACTTCTGAAGGCCATCAGACCTTCATGTTTGAGAGAAGGAAGAGTCATATTCTTTTTTCTAAGCACAGATACTTCCTTAATTAAGGGTTGTAAATGCAGGTAGAGTCCTAGTGACTGTTCAGAGTTACCACAGCACTGAAAAAAGTGACTTACGGCCAGTTTTCACGCTCAACGACCGTAGCAGCATCCCCATGGCCATGTGATCAAAATTCAGACGCTTGGCAACTGTTTCACACTTACGACGGTTGTAGTATCCCAGGGTCACGGCAATCCCCTTTTGCAACCTTCTGGCAAGCAAAGTCAAAGAGGAATCCAGATTCCCTTAACAATCGCGTGACTAATTTAATAACTGGAGTGATTCGTTTAACGGTGGTGTCAAGAAAGGTGGGGCAAGCCGATGTTTCACTTAGCAATGAAAAAAAATTGGGGCTCCATTGTGGTTATAAGTCAAGGACTGCCTGTATTGTAAGGAGCCTTAAAGTCTAAAAGCATCTCGAAATTTCCCATCCTTGTAATAAGATCAGCGTTTTTCAAATTTGGTGACTTTAAGATGGGTAGACAAAGGTGTTGGTGGGGGATTCTGGCTATTGAAGCCCACTCCTCTTAAATACAAATAGGTAAAGGTAAAGGTTCCCCTCGCACATATGTGCTAGTCATTTCCAGCTGTAGGGGGTGGTGCTCATCTCTGTTACAAAGCCGAAGAGCCAGTGCTGTCCGAAGACGTCTCCGTGGTCATGTGGCCGGCAGGACTAAACACCTTCGAACGCGCATAGAACGCTGTTTCCTTCCCACCAAAGGGGTCCCTATTTTTCTACTTGCATTTTTTTAACGTGCTTTCCAACTGCTAGGTTGGCAGAAGCTGGGACAAGGAACGGGAGCTCACTCCGTGACGCTGCACTAGGGATTCGAACCACCAAACTGCCAACCTTTCCGATTGACAAGCTCAGCATCTTAGCCCCTGAGCCACCGTGACCCTTCAAGGGACCTCAAAGGTCATCTAATCCAATTGCCTGCCCTCCGTAGGAATCTACTAAACCAGCTCACTAAAGCCATGCTTGGAAAGCATTTTACGGAAACCCCTTCAACATCCCGGGGTGTTAATCCAGTCCTGGAGCACAGAGTTTGGAGGAACAAACCGTGCAGATTCCCCCCCCCCCCCCCCCCCCTTCCGGGTTTCAAGACCGAAGTAAACCATCCCTGTTCCCATGCCTGTTTTTGAAGGGAAGAGGCAGGCAAAGTGGTTGTTGTTTAACCACTTTTATGGCACCCAGCTCTCATAAAAAGGTTGCTGGTGGTCATTGCTTACATTGTTATAAAAGAAGAGCTAAATGGTTTGTAATTTAGGGAAAGGGGATTTAATTACACAAAGTAATTTACAGAAAGCTGTAATTGTATCTCTCTCTCTCTCTCTCTCTT